TGCCCTCCCCTCATCCATCCAACCAGTTATAGCATCATAGAAGGCTATCAGATTGGTCAAGCATGATTTACCCTTGGTAAACCCATGTTGCCCGCTTCCAATAACCCCCCGCTCTTCAACTTGTTTGGAGATGACATCTAGAATGAGTCTCTCCATTACCTTCCCAGGGATGGAGGTGAGACTAAGTGGTCTGTAGTTCCCAGGGTCCTCCTCTTTGCCCTCTTTGAAGACTGGAGTGATGTTGGCCTTCCTCCAGTCTTCAGGCACCTCTCTGATTCTCCATGACCTTTCAAAGATGATAGAGAGTGGCCCAGCGATACCATCTGCCAGCTCTCTCAGCACTCGTGGGTGCACCCCATCAGGGTCCATGGACTTACCAATGTCCAGTTTGGCCAAGTGGTCCTGAACCTGCTCCTCTACCGGAGGAAAAACTTCCTCTCTCCATACCCTCCCCCTTGCCTCCAAGGCCAGAGATTCATGAGGGGCAGCCTTAATAGTAAAGACTGAAGACTGAAGAAAAGAAGGCATTCAGCAACTCTGCTTTCTCTGTGTCTTCCACCACTAGGGTGCCCGTCCCATTCATCAGTGGGCCCACATTATCCCTAATCTTCCTTTTACTCTTTACATACTGAAAAAAACCCTTTTTGTTATTCTTAACTGTAGTGGCCAAGATGAACTCAGCTTGAGCCTTGACCCTTCTCATTTTCCCCCTGCATATCCTCACCGCTTCCTGGTATTTCTCCTTGCCTGCCAGGCCCCTTTTCCAAAGATCATAAACCTTCTTTTTGTTCCTGAGCTCCACCCAAAGCTCTCTATTTAGCCAGGCTGGTCTTCTTCCCTTCCTGCTTGTTTTTTGGGACTTGATTCTCCATGACCTTTCAAAGATGATAGAGAGTGGCCCAGCGATACCATCTGCCAGCTCTCTCAGCACTCGTGGGTGCACCCCATCAGGGTCCATGGACTTACCAATGTCCAGTTTGGCCAAGTGGTCCTGAACCTGCTCCTCTACCGGAGGAAAAACTTCCTCTCTCCATACCCTCCCCCTTGCCTCCAAGGCCAGAGATTCATGAGGGGCAGCCTTAATAGTAAAGACTGAAGACTGAAGAAAAGAAGGCATTCAGCAACTCTGCTTTCTCTGTGTCTTCCACCACTAGGGTGCCCGTCCCATTCATCAGTGGGCCCACATTATCCCTAATCTTCCTTTTACTCTTTACATACTGAAAAAAACCCTTTTTGTTATTCTTAACTGTAGTGGCCAAGATGAACTCAGCTTGAGCCTTGACCCTTCTCATTTTCCCCCTGCATATCCTCACCGCTTCCTGGTATTTCTCCTTGCCTGCCAGGCCCCTTTTCCAAAGATCATAAACCTTCTTTTTGTTCCTGAGCTCCACCCAAAGCTCTCTATTTAGCCAGGCTGGTCTTCTTCCCTTCCTGCTTGTTTTTTGGGACTTGGGTATGGCTCTTTCCTGCGCTTTTAAGAGTGCCTCCTTGAAGTACAACCAGCCTTCCTGGGCACCTTTGCCCTTCAGGACTGTCTCCCAAGGGATGCTTTCAACCGTGCTCCTGAAGAGGCCAAAGTCTGCCCTTCAGAAGTCCAAGGTGGCAGTTTTGCTGGCCCCCCGCCTTGCTTCGGTAAGACTGAAAATTGTATCATTTCGTGATCATTCTGCCCAAGATGACCTCCAACGTTTACATCCCCCACGAGACCTTCTGAGGTAACTATCAGCAGGTCCAGTAGGGCACTTTCCCTGGTCGGTTCCCTCACCAGCTGCGTTAGCAAGTTGTCTTCCCTGCACTCCAAGAATCTCCAGGACTGATGTCTCTCTGCTGTGTTATATTTCCAGCAGATACCTGTGAAGTTGAAGTCCCCCATGAGTACAAGGGAGAGCGATCGTGAGGTTCTGCCAGCTGCTTATAGAATATTTCATCAGCCTTTATATCCTGGTTTGGGGGTCTGTAACAAACTCCCACCACCATGTCTACCTTATTGGTCTTCCCCTTGATTCTTATCCATAGACACTCAACACTGTCATCATGCATAATGCTAAGTTCTAGGCATACAATAGTGCTCTTAACATAAAGGGCCACCCCACCACCTCTCTTTCCTTGCCTATCCCTTCTGAAAAGTTGGTAGCCATCTGTTGCGACGGAGGGAAGACATGAGCACTCGATATGAGTGACCAGCAAGCTTCGTTTATTTAGACACACTACCATTCTTTTATGCACACTCATAATTAGCTCATACATATTGCAAAATGAGAGCTCATTATTGGTTAGTTCTAAAAAGACAGTTCCGCCCGAAATTCCTTTCTTACAGTTACATGTTTACCTTATCACAGACATTCTGTTGTTGGACCACAGCTGCCTTCAAGGCCAGAAGAACAACTTCAAGGCCTTGCAGTTATTGGGAGCTAGATAAGCTGAATATGGTGCTTATTAAGCTCTTGCTGGAACTGGGCATGTTTAGTTTGGAGAAGAGGAGGCTGAGGGGAGACCTTGTTGCCCTCTACAGCTCCCTGAAAGGAGGGTGTAGAGAGGTGGGGGTTGGCCTCTTCTCCCAAGGGAATAACGACAGGAGCAGAGGAAATGGTCTGAAGTTGGGGCAGGGCAGGTTTAGATTAGATCTGAGGAAGAATGACTTTCCTGAGAGGGTGGTCAGGCCCTGGAACAGCCTGCCCAGGGAGGTGGTGGAGTCACCATCCCTGGAGGGATTTAAGAAACATGTAGACGTGGCACTTCAGGGCATGCTCTGGTGCCCAAGATGCTAGGGTTCGGTATTTTTGTTTTGTGTTTGGAGTTGTGTTGGTGTGTAGTGTTTTTTGGTTTGTTTGTTTGTTCTTGTGTATGGTTGGATTTAATTAAACTGGTTCATCATTTCTGCCTTCTAATCCATCTCATTAAAACTTTATGCAACTCAACGAGTCTTTTAATATATTCTCTTTCATATGCACTACCAAATACAATACTTTTCAGAAATGGCACCTTGTTCTGAATTGTTTTCTTAAAGAACATCACAAACATCCGGGGTTCCACCTGCCATTTTTGTAAGGGTTACTCCATTAATCCCCACAAGAAAGTCCGGAGAACCTTCCTGTTTACAGGACAACATACAAAAACTTTCCTATGATCTGTCTGCAGCTTCCGCTAGCATCTGGAAACAAATTGGCCATTGAGGAACTCCCAGAACCTGTCATAAATTTGGTATTATATTTAGTAAAAGCTGAGAACTCAGAGAAGAATTCTCATTTACAAAGCCACACATTACTTTGGAATGTTAAGAGATGATTCTCTTAAAAATACAATAAACAAAGAATACAGGAAGAAGAAGGAAAAAAACCAAGGAGCTATTGCTTTGTCTTTTAAATCATAGCAAACATGTGTTTTAAGAAGCAGTTTGAAGAACTGTTTACCAAATACTTAGGAGGAATTTATCCCAAGAATGACGGGCAGCAGGCAAGAAGTCAAGTGCTATTACCTGTACTGTCAGAGCCAAGCATTGATTTCTCAACAGTGAATGAGAAGTGATGAGAGGTGAAAGTCCTTGGAAGTAAAACCATGGAGCTTATGACTGATTTAACAGGAAGGAGAGCTCAGATGAAGCAGAGAAACCAAGGCTTTCCCTTTCCTCGAAGTAAAACTTTGACAAAAGTATTTTCAGAATGCTGGGTGGGTACATAGAAGCATGGTGAGAAAAGGGTGAAAAAATGTGCTGTCTTTAGCTCCAAGCAAAGAATTAAAACAAATGTGCCAATAAATCACTGTAATAAACCCACTAGAAATTTATAAAAACATACCTCTTGATTCCCTGTAGCTGTAGATGCTCACCTGGCAAGTTTATTGTAGTATTTGTTATACCTAATAAAAGTCCAAGTATGCCAACAGCTTAACTCAGTCATTTCATCTATTATGACAGAAATTCTCCATTTGACCTGCTGTGGAGACCCAAAGTTCTTAGGATTTACAACGGCAAGAATAACAGCGACCTTCCTTCCCTTTTTTGCTTGCCAAGCCAACTGAAAATCACTGATTTTTCACTCCAGGTCTGCTCTGTGAATCGCTGCCTTGCCCCACCATCCAGCTGACCCATCCCCTCCTGCCTCCAGTTGCAGTGACAAGGTGTAGGTACCACAGCTGACAGCAGGAATCACAGAGAGATATGGGGCGGGAAGGGACCTCTGGAGATCATCTAGTCCAACCCTCTGCCAAAGTAGGGTCACCCAGAGCAGGACTCACGGAAACGTGTCCAAGAGCGTTTGAATGTCTCCAGAGAAGGAGACTCCACCACCTCCCTGGGCAGCCTCTGCCAGGGCTCTGCCATCCCCAAAGTGAAGAAGTGCCTCCTCACGCTGAGATGGAATTTCCTGTGTTCTAGTCTGTGCCTGTTACCCCTTGTCCTGTCCCTGGGCACCACTGAAAAATGACCGGCCCCATCCTCCTGACACCCACCTTTTCAGTATTTACAGGCGTTGATCAGATCCCCCCCTCAGTCTTTTCTCCACCTGAGTCCCTCAGCTTTTCCTCATCAGAGAGATGCTCCAGGCCCCTCATCATCTTTGTAGCTCTCTGCTGTACCCTCTCCATCACTTCCCTGTCCTTCTTGAACTGGGGAGCCCAGAACTTGACCCAGTGCTCCAGCTGGGGCCTCCCCAGGGCAGAGCAGAAGGGGAGGATAACCATCTATGCGCAAATCTGACTCCTGTCATGCACCTGATGAAAACATGGAGCACGCTCCTGGCACGAATGAGGAGTTTGGTTCAGATACCAAGGGTTACCTAGTGAAGGCCTCCCCTCAAGGTCCCAAGAAAGCCTTGCACCCCGTGGAGGTGATGGAGAATAGAAACCAGCCCTGTTTTAGCAAGCCTGTGGTTGTAGCCTGGGTAAAGCCACAGAAAACCCACGCTGCGACATCCTCGGAGGTCCCAGTAAGGCCAGGACCGGCGACAAGCCCCCGCCGAGGCAGCCCCCGCCGCTCTGCCGCCCTCCCTCACCCGGACACTCACCAAGGAGTCGCAGGTCACCAGCACCACGCTGGGCCGGGGCTGGCCCCCGGGGACGACCGCCCGCGGCCTCTCCCCGGCCCAGGCCGCGGAGACCGTGAGGAGTAGCGCCAGCCCAGCCAGCCCCATCGCTCCACCGCCGTCAAACCCCTCTCCCGGGCAGAGGGGAGCAGCAGCGCTGGTAGAGCCACCCGCCGCCCTCAGCCCCGCAGGAACTACATCTCCCAGAAGGCACCCCGCAAAATGGCGACCGGCCGGGCAGCGTCGCCGCGATGACGTTACACGCATGCGCGCGGTCGGCGGCGGGAGGCGAAGGTGAGGCGGCGCGGGGCCGTTGCGGGTTGTGAGGGGCCGTGGCCGCGCGGCCCGCTCCGTCCGGCGCCTCTTCCCTCGCCGTGAGGGCTATCGGCCCGGTCGGGAGGGGCTGCCGGGGCGGTCACCAGGCCGTGGCGTGGCCCGGGCGCCCCTCGCTCCGTAGCAGGGCCGCGGGGCCGGTTTCCTCCCAGGTGGCAGCGGTTTTGCGCTGACGTTGTGTCTGTTTTTCTCTGTAGGTGAAAATGGAGCTTAGGCTTGGTAATGTCAGCCAGAGGCGGTGTTTGTGGTGATCGAGGGGCCTGTGCCCTCCTCGGAAGGAACTTTGTCTGCGGGAGCTGTTGAGCCACGTAAGTTTGACAGGTTTCTTTATATTTTTTTTAGCCTTTGAGGGAACCTTTGACATCTACCCTCTTGTCCTTTCGTTACTAATTTCTGTCCAGGCCCTTTATCTGCTCTTTCATCTTTTGCTCTTCAGCTGCCAAAAGTTGTTTTTTTTTGTTGTGCAGTTTGTCACTTTCTCAGCCCCAGTCAGTGCCGGCCCCAGCAGTGGTGTGCCTCAGCCTCCTCCCCTTAGGCGGGTTAGACAGTGCTGTTTCTAAAGTTCGTTTGCAGCAAAACATTTATCATCAATGTCAAAGCAGCGCATGACTATGTCAGGCTTCACAAGCAGGGATGCCCCTCCGCTGAGGAAAGGCTGAGGGACCTGGGGCTGTTCAGCTGGAGAAGAGCAGAGCGAGAGGGGACCTCATAGATGCTGAGCAATAGCTAAAGGGTGGGGGCAAGAGGTTGGGGCCAGGCTCTTCTCAGTGGTGCCAGGGACAAAGGAGCAACAGGCACAAACTGGAACACAGGAAATTCCATCTCAACATGAGGAGGAACTTCTTCCTGTGAGGGTGGCAGAGCCTTGGAAGAGGCTGCACAGAGAGGGTGTGGGGTCTCCTTCTCTGGAGGCACCCAAACCCACCTGGACATGTTGCTGTCCCACTGCTCTGGGTGACCCTGCTCTGGCAGGGGGTTGGACTGGATGATCTCCAGAGGTCCCTTCTGACCCATGCCAGCCTGAGATTCTGTGATTTTGTGTCCTTAAGCACTTCTTCATTTTTGCTGTACAGCTGTAGGCAGAAGCAGGGTCTGCTGTAAGTGGGGAGGGGGGCACGGAGCATCATGGAAAAGCCTGAACACAGGTGTTGGGCTGGCCATGGTACTGCTGTGGGCAGCACACAAGGTCAACTCTGATCCTTAGGAACCCCTTTGTTACCAAAATCTGTAACCTATCACTCTCCAAACGGGGTTTTGTAGTTTCAAGAGCCAACATTAGTTTATTTACAGTGCCAGGTGCATGGGGGATTTGTCCTCCAATTGTGCACCCCCGTCAGAACTCTCCATGCAATTTTTATATGCAATTTACAACATCAATATAATATTAATACCTCCTAGCTATATTTGATTAGTTAGTAATTTAGATACGCTCACACCATCAAGTTATAGCTCTCACACACGCTCAAGGGAAGGTCTTCATCTGGGCAAGGGTCTCCTTGACCAATGGGTGTGAATTTTAGTAGTAGAATGAAGACAGTTCAGCTTAGTGGACTCAGAATTTTCACTCTCTGCCAAGTTGGCTGAACTGAAAACATGTAGATTAGCACCATTGCCAAGGCCCTTGTGCTCGATGTGCCTCCTTGAGAATGATACAATACTGGCCTCCCTTGATTAGGAGTTATTTTCAGTAGCTCATGCTCGATACATTTAAGGATAGAATTCTGGTTATTGGGGAGAACGCACATAAGTTGTATCACTTTCCACACTAGTTACTAATATCTTTTCCAGGGTGTCTTGAGCAGATGTCTAGTGCAATATGCCTCTTAAACCCAGTTGACTGTGTATGAGTTCTTCTTGGAAAAGAAACTCTATGCAGGATGTCTTTCTAGGAGTCTTAGCTATGGTGACTGTCATGTAACACCTCTCACCCTCTTTAAATTTGTCTTAACCAATGTTTCATTCTGGGATAGCTACTTCGTATTGTTTAACTGCTTGGAATATTCACTTAATCCTGCTTGGAGCTAATTGTAATTAACTCATTTTAACCATATTATTTGTTTCAGCAGTTTTCAGTGCTGTGTGCATTTTGGCATATTGCACTGTATTTCTGTGTTTAAAATGCTCTCTGCAGAATTACAATATGATATAAACAATGTTTTGAGTTCAGCTTGTCTTTTCATAAGAACTGATTACCTGTCCTGTTTACTTAGTAGCCACGATGTCAAATAAGGAGGTGAAAGCAGCTTTAAAGAGTGCCAGAGAAGCAATACGGAATAAAGAATATAAGGAAGCCTTAAAACATTGCAAGGTAATTAATTTTTTACTTGGAAGGTAATATGTTTTGCACATTTTGTTTCCTGTTCTCATACCCCTATAGTAACGCGGGGTGTGGAGTACCTTATTAGCTGAGATTAATAATTTTATACTGATTTTCATACTTAACTTCAGTGACCATCATGTTAGTTGCCCACAGGAAAACCTTTCTTCCCCTTCCCTTTTGCATTTGCTTATATGTGGTAGTAAGAATATTAAGTCTAGAGTGACAGTGATAAAATCCATTTCTAATCCAGACCCCAACAGGAGCGCTTTAATTGCTGAGTTACAGATATGGTTACTGGCAGAGTTCAGATATAAAGCATTCCCTGGCTTAAAAATTTGAAGGTAGTAATCTTAGCCTTTTTCTAAAAGTGAGTTAACTTCTAGTATAACCGTACAGAATAATTCACCAAACTGTAATGATAAAACTCAATGCATGGATCTATTAAATGCGTTTCATTCATCAGTTTCACATGTAATTATGTATTTCTAGGCAGTTTTGAAGCAAGAAAAAAATAACTACAATGCTTGGGTATTCATTGGCCTGGCAGCTGCCGAGTTGGAGCAGCCTGATCAGGCCAAAGGAGCGTACAAGAAGGCTATTGAACTTGAACCAAACCAGTTACTGGCATGGCAGGTATGTGAATGTCCAGATTCGCTTTTTCTTTCTCTGAAAAGTGTCACTGGGGAGCAGTGAAATGTGCAAGGGAGAACATGAATTGAAACAGGCACAGTAAATTCATCCGTGCTTAGGAATTTCCGTGCTTGTAGAAACACTTGACAGTGTGTTTCTTGTAGGAGAGAAAGTGTTTTGTCTAGTAAGTTATTTTTCCAGCTTCCAAGATAAGGGGATTGTCATTGAATTTTGTTGTTACTTAGAAACAAATAAAAATACCCATGTGCTGTGTGCATGGCAACATAGATATTTGCTGTGTGTGCTGTCTGTAACAGTGTATAGTTACAACACACGGTTGGATTATTTGGAGACATGTTGAGCATAAGGTTGCCTGTTAGGTATGTCTCTCATACCAACAATAAATATTTTTCTGAGGTGCTAAGGTTTTCATATTTTCAATATAAATAGCTTTTTGAAGTATAACTGTTGGTACAACTGATTTGAAGGTATATTGACATTTCCTCAGTTGTTTTGCGGTCAGATTCTGTCTTTCTGTTACTTTAGAAGACAGCATGATACTTGGATGTATACTTTTATTGTATGACTTAGTGTGCTTTATATATTTTCTGTTACGCAGACAATATTACGTAGTATTTCCAGGTTTCAAATATTTGTTGGTATTAGTTAAGAAAGTGAGGACAGCATTTAATTTAAAATAAGTAGATTTAGAAGGCTGTATGGAAGTGTCAGTGTACATTCTGCTCAGAGATTTCTACATTAACACTTGACCCCACTGAAGGCAATGGAATAACTTTTGTAGGCAGAACTTGCAGTGTTCTCATAACATGTAACTGTTGACAACAAATCTTACATGTTTTTTATGGTTGTTTTTTTTTTTTTAAAGGGATTAGCAAATTTATATGAGAAACCCAACCAAACAGATGTCAGAGGAGACTTAGCAGAGGTTTACCAAAAGCTCTTGCAACTCTATGAAAGGTAAGGAATATTGAATACCATAATTTATACCATAAGATTTGTAGCTCAGTGAATGTCATCGCTGATACACAGGATAGTCTTCGGGTTTGGTTCTTTTAAGACTTGTGACATCAGTGAGTGAGCCCTTGTTACTAAGGTTTTCTGTACCTCTGTAAGGATTCTTGATCTGTCCCTTTGGATAGGGCAAAATTCGAGGTTAATAATTTGGAGAATTCTAATGTTATCCTAATGCCCTCTGTCTAAACTCACTGCCCCAAAACATTTAGCTCTGACAGTTCATTGTCTGCATTAATAAGTAGGCTTATTTTTTTCTCTGCTTTAAGATCACAGTATATATGTTATCTGATTGGTATAGGCGCAGTTCTGAAATAAAACTGTCAGCTGTCACTGTAGCTGACTGGAGAGTTCAATTTGTTTTCTTAGTTTGAAAATTACTGAAAAAGAAAAGTACAATCCCTTAAAGTCATTTTTTTTTTTTACTCAGTTACAGCAGCAATGACTGAAACTTTTAGGGCAATCTGTAGTATTTATTCTAAATATTTGTTTGGCAGCTGGACCTAATAAAAATTATTTGTCAGAATTTGAAAAACCGTATACTATTTTATGGAAAACTTAGCTTGTTTGTGTGGGATTTTCTTCCTCCTTTCTAGTGGTGACAAGCAGAAATGGTGTGATGTATGTAACAAGCTTGTGGAACTGTATCATCAAGAAAAGAAATATTCAGAGGTAGGTTGTGTGCTTTACTTTCTCTCTTCTCACAAGAAGGTTCCATTTGATCAGAACTAACGACTCTTCATCAAGGAATCCCCAGTTTTTTGGGCAACAGACCACTTAAGGTCTCCCTGTGGACCACTGCCAGGAATTTATTTTAATGATGTCCCTTTCTTTTCTGCTGCAGTTGGATGCAGTCCATTAAACTGT